TGTGTACATTCACAAAAAATATGGGGAAAAAATCTACTTATATCAATGTTATTATTCAGGTAATCAATATTTCAACAATATTTATAGAATATTTTAGAAACCACAACAAAAAAGAGGGAAAGGAATACTTTTAATACCATGGATAACGTATAACTAAACATATTACCCAAACAGACATTGCTATGAGATGATTCAAAGCCTATAAGTCTGGGCAGACAAACTGTGAATATGGAAGAAAGAGCATGATAAAAACAGAAGAGAAATCAGGAGAGACAGACTGATAAAGTGAGAAAAGGAGGAGAGGAAAACGCAGCAGAATCCAACAGAAAGTGGCCGACACAGGTACTGTAGAGGAACAGACGCAGGAGTGAAAGTGAGCAGTGCCAGGGTGTGACCAGCAGCAGGATGACACTCAGGAGTTTTTCCTGCAGCAGCCGAGGAGCCCGGCGAGGGAATAGCGCCGCTTCTATCGGAGAAAACTGCTCTGCTAATTGCATTCGATTCCCTTTTCATACCGTGCTGAAGATGACATGTTGAAGTCCTCCGCTGTGTCTCCCTTACACCGGGGGTCAGTTCGCCATCACTGCTATCCTGATAAGTTTGTGTCCTGGGCGGAAAGACTTGAGAGTGCAAAGGTTGTACTCTGGCAAACATCTTTTTTTCCTCTCTCTTACACAATTGCTCAAAATAACATGACAACCAATCACACCTATTCCTCTTGACTCGAGCTCCGTGGGACTGACTGCAAAGTGCGCTCAGCAGCTCCCTGTTGTGACAAATCTGGGTTTTGTATGGCATCCCCAATAATAGGAACTAATAACAGATGATTCGGGGGGTTGTCAGAAAGCTTTTAAGTGAGGCTCAATGGTAAAGAAGTTGACGGCAAATGGAACATGTGCTGCATTTTTTAACCACCTAGTAGATAGACCGGCAGCAGGTTTTAGTGTGGAGGTGAGAAAGAGTAGCAAACACTTTCAAAAAGAGGTATGGCTTTAACGAGGTTTTCAATTTTATGACTGACTTCGATCCAACTTTCTCTTGAACAGCAGACAGGACGTTTATATTACTACACAGAGAATAATTTAGTGAAGGAGCTTACGTGCTTCTGCAAAAGAAAACCTGCTATTATGAGAATGATTCTGGAGGCTCAGTCAAAACTATCTGTAACGGTCTGGGTTCAAAGAAAGAAAGAAAAAAAGAATAACATGGCAGAGAGGAGTAACATCATGAAGAACACACTGCGCCAAACATCTAAGGTGGGCGTCAAACCTACTGTTTACCAAGGAAGACAAAATCAATGCCGTACCCACTGCGCCAAGAACTGCAGCTCACTTTGGGCAGCAGCAGCAGGTCTAACAGGGCTCGGTAAACCTGTGGACGCTGTGAAGCCCTAAACTTTTGACTGACAGGATTCTGGGGATTTATTTCTCTCTCTCAGCTCAGCGACATGCCTGCATGACAGTCTGTCCTTAAAAAAACAAACAAAAAAAAAACATGCACTTGTCATATTTGATTTGTATTCTTGCTACGTGAGGAGAGCACCCACCAAATGTTTTCCATTTACAACAACTGCTTTCACTTTATGTCCATGCCAAAGTCTCTGTCTAGGACAATAATACAAGCCCACTAGTAAACAACAACAGAGACAGCATCTCAACACGAGGAGTCAAACACTTTCGATCCTGTGTGACATCTCTATCTTTGTGCTGCAGAGCCACTTCGCCACCAACATTATAACTCGCTTCTTCTAATAAATCCCCAAAATTAAGTGTGGGTTAATTAAAAAAATAATCCGTTTTTCTTTCAACTTTTCTCCGCTACGAAGTCCTGACGTTGTGGAGATAAGCAGTGGATCGTGAGAGGATGCTATCAGTGTTCCTCCTTCATGTAATGGGATTTTTGTATGATAATAAATGGAAAGCAAATTAACTCAACAGTGCAAACGGAGACCGAAGGAGGAGAGCAGGCAGGGTCCATCACATCACACTGATAGGAAACACAAGCATGCTTATTTATCACATAATCTGAACCAACTGCTCAGACTGCACCGGTGGAGTTATGTAATCAGGATACATGGGGAAAAAAGTAACTGTAATCCATTAGTTACAGAAAAACAGGCAACAAGATTACAGTTATATTTAGTAAAAATAGGGATTTTATAGCAGTTTCAGTCATTTTCTTCTTCAATACTTCTTATTGACATTTCTTCTCTCCTGTTTTACATATTTGGTGTAATCCAAAAGTAACGAAAACTAATCACGTTACTTTACAGACTACATTTTATGTTTTTTTATTTATTTTTTTTACCAGGTAAATTAGTAATTATATGGGATAACATTTTTTAAAGCAACCCTGCCTGTATCTCCACTGTAGGTAACACATTTACTTTATTAACACAACAACAACAACAACACCGACAACCGGGGCACGTTTCAGCCTCATACGGAGGACGCCCCTCACAAACTTTATGGTCGATGAACTGCCCTGACTGATACCACAGAAACTTTAATTTGTCACAGCATGTTAAGACAAGCATGCAAAATAACCACAACAACAACAAAAAACAACTAGTTCTAGTTAACCGCAGCTCATCCAAACTTTAGTCGTAAACTCTAACGCCATTTATGGGAAGTCAAACTGGCGTCGACATGTTGTTCTTTAAATGTTTTGAGCTCTGACAGCTCCTAACATTTATTCCACGACAATTTATCATCAATAATATTATAAAGGGGGGGTAGAAGCTGAGATAATACGCTTTAAAACAAGTCTGGTAGGGGGGGAGGGAGGAACACAACCAACCGCATCCACAAGTTTTGACCTGCGCTTCTGAAGGCGGATTAACATATCTTCATATATTCATCGATACTTTACGTTACCTTAAAAAACAGCTAAACATCGACATTTTATCTAGCTACTCTAATTCATAATACACGTTTCTTTTTTTAATACTTTTTGTGTATTTGAGTTATTTCACTTTTTTGTTTTGGGGTGTGTGTGTGTGTGTGTGTGTGCAGGTGGTTCAACGCGCATGTCACACCGTCCGATAATGGGTGTCTGGCTGCTGGCTGTGTGTTACCTTGTCGGTCCGTTACTTTCTCCGTGTGATTCGTCGGCCTCTCCCGCCGACCCGTTCTCGTCGTCCTCCACGGTAACGTCTGCGAGTATGACCGGGCCGCCTACGTTCCCCAAGCCCCGCTGCATGACTCTGTCACCATCTCCCTCCGAGGTCGACCCTGAACCCCGGGCGGCGGACTGCGGCTCCCTCCCGACGGCGGCGGCGGAGCCCTGAGTTTGTCCCGAAGTCCCGAATCCGAGCAGCGCTTTCAGCAACAGCAGGAGCACCAGGGAAATGCTCACGTTTCCAAAGTGAAGCCCCCTTTCCATTTGTAAGACTGGCACATTAGTGAAGTATGAGATTTACATGCCACTGGCCTTGTAAATCTTAACATAAAAAAACTTAAAAGTGCAAAAAAATTAAAACTGTAACTACAAAGAAAACTCCGCTGTGTCTTGAAAAACGCCCTTTCCAATCGGTCCTTTAAGTAAACATAAACAGCCACTGGGACACCATGTTATTCCCTTTATACTTCACTCAAGACATGCCTTGGTAACGATAAGTCCCGCCTTGTTTCTACACTGGGATTGGACAATAAAATCGCTACATACGTTAAAATGTCATGTACCCGCTTCTGATTGGACCGTTTCCTGTCAATCACGCACACTCGCATACTAAGCAGAGTGCGATTGGATCAGACGCCTGTCGCTCAAGGGGGCGGGATCAGAACGCTCCAGCCTCCCCCAAACAGTGCCGTTGATTGGCTAACCCGCTGTCTGTCGGAGCGACGCACGCGCACTGGCGGTTGACACGCAACGGGAGCAAAAAGGTGACGCAAAAAAGTCCCCGATGGCGAATGCCAAATGCGGACATGTGATTGGTGGGATGTGTCGTCGTTCGACCAATGAGAGAGACGACGCCGTTAAGCGGCAACGCTATTGGTCGACGTCTGCCCTCGCGGACTGAATGTAAGCATCCGATTGGATATTCCAGCTGTCACTCAAGAGCAGTTGTCAAGACGGCCCGATATGAAAGCTTCAACGTGGCTTCACTGACGAGAGGTACATTTCCTGTTCCTGATCACGAGTTATGTTTTTCAGATAAACAAACATTATGACATAATATATGTAAATAAAAAAAAAAAACCCTCCTTTATTTATACATGCTCTGAACGCGTTAGGGACTTTACTTTTTAATTAGGACGCTTATAAAACTGATATACATTAAATGAAAACAACTAAGTTTTCAAATCCCTTAGTTTTTTAATATATATTTGTTTATGAATGTATATTAATTATTTGACAGATTAGAATTTGTGCGAGTTGCTCATTATTCTAGGATTTATTTAATCATTATGTTGGGTGCTATATAAGGTCATTGTTAACCCAGTTTGCTGTGCAGCGATTGTACACCTTGCAGCACAATCAACCTGCTTGTGTTTCTAGCGCCCCCAAGTGGCCACACAGGATAACTGCACCTCCAAGGTCTTCTGGAAAGTACTGAACTTTAATGAATCTTCTGTACTCGGAAAATGTGAGGGGTTCATCCAAAATATGGAAAATGTTCTCACTTACCTCAACAGATACAGGATGCAACTAACAACTATTGTCATTATCAATTCATCTGGTGATTATTTTGTTGATTAATGCATAGGTTTATAAATGATAGATTAGGTTGATTTAACAGTCCAAAACTCAAAGATATTCACTTTATTACCATAGAGCACGAAGCAAACCAGCAAATGTTCACATCTGTAAAGCTAGAACCAGTGAATGTTTTTGGATTTATTGATTATAAAACCTGTTCCCACATTATTTCCTAATTGAATCATCGACTGGTTGTTTCTTTTCTAGTTTTGGAAAGTGTCTGTGTATCACATCATCAAGTTATTAATAGAACGAGAAGAAAAGTTCACCACCAGAAATAACACAAGGGAGGCGTGCTGTTATCATTTTGGTCCTGTATTGTTTGACAGAGAAAATAGTACCGTCACATCAAAATCATTATCACAGTCAACTGGTAAGGAAAGCAATAAAAAGAACTGCTGGTGCAAAAATACCCAACATGGTGTACAACTTGTATTGGACCCAAACTGGGCCGCATTCACTTTCACGTTGTCTACACGCCACTGAGACCACAGAGTGAGCTCGTACCTAAGAACAGTGGCTTGTGGACTAACGTGTCAGCAAACTGCATCTGCTTGATAGTATTAAATCTCCCAGTACTGATGTTCTCCTGAGCCTGTCAGAGCTGTACATATAAAAACAAACCAGAGTGTAAGGCATCGTGAGCCGAAAGCAGAGTGAAACTAAAGACATTAATCATACAATCGAACAAATTATGGTTGTTCTGGACAGTGAAGTAACTTGTCCTCAGTGTGAAGAAAGACAACCTAACAATTTGAAACCGGAGAAGGAACAATGAGTATTTTTAGACAATTCAAGAAGAGCACTGTGCTGTAGAGTTAAGAAACATTATCTCCCTGATATCTGCCGCACACTGAGCATAAGATCTTATAGAGCGCCTTTGAAGTTGCATGTTTGTGATTCATCTTTTGTCTTTAACTACTGCATTTCTCATATTTTTACATACTAAAATGTCTTTGATGGGGCAGTTTGTTGCGGTGTTGCTCCAACAATATGATCAGCTACATCATCAATTCATTCTGCTACATCTTAATAAGAAAAGGTGTTTCTATTGCTTTGGCGTACCAAGGCACATAAAATGTTCTTGTTTGAGCTACATCAGTTCACTTTTAACTGTGACAATGTTAAAGACGCAACTGCCCATCACTATTACCTCAGGACGTCCTCCACGTCTCTCTATAACCGTTTGGATTTAAGTTTATGGCACAAGACTCTCTGTGACCAGCTGGCTCGTGTAAGGAATGAGACATTGTCATGCAAAGTTACAGGCACAAACACGTTGGAAGGAGGTACATGCATGAAAGAACACACATTCAGTGGTTTGTTTGTTTGTCCAACAGTGAGAGGCTGCGGACTTTAAACCCCCCCCACCTCTGGCTACCTCTACAGAAACTGCTGTTGAAACTGAGAGGAAACCACAAACATTTCCACTGTCTTCACTCAGAGAGTCAAAGAGAATTACATCAGAACTTCCACTTCATGAGTTTGTACCCCATTGAACAGTGAAATAAACAAATGTAAAACTACATCAGAAATGTTCAAGACAGCTCTGCGAACTGCGGCTTTAAAAAGGAATCACATGACAGAATGGAGTTATTTCCAGTTTAAGATCCTGAAATTGTATAGCTGTAACCTGTGCAGTTGTTTTAAACAATTAAAGGAAAAGAGTAATACCTAGTAAGGAGGGTGTAGATTTGTTGGCAAGTGCAGCTGAACAGTTGAGATGATTTATCACTATGTTGACACAAACTGATAGTACTGCTGTAGGACACGCAAGGTGACAACGGAGCAGAAAACCAGGAGCTTCAGTTACACCGAGGAGCACAAAGAAAGCTGCTGCTGCCTCACAGTGATGATTTCACCTTTTCCTTATATTTGATGCTTCTCAAACCTTTAGCTGCAGAGCTAACACTACCTGCTGGTACATTCTGCACACTTCCTTTCTACAGTACTATATACCACACAAACACAAACACACACACTGTATTATCAGTGTCACGTGTCTTCTTACTACAATAACCACATAATGGAAGCTTCATACCAGCACCACAGGGTTTCCCTAAATTGTCAACGATCTCATTAATTTTCTGCCTTTTTCTGTTTAAATTAGCATATTAATTAGAGAAATTAATTTCCTGAAAAAAAAACTTCATGTTGTAGTGTACAGTTCGTATCACTCCCCCTTCTGTGATTTAATTAAACAAAAAGACTTGAAGGCATATCACTTTTCTGATGTGTTGATTGGTGGACTTACAGCAGCCTAGCAGACGACAATAGTTTGACGTATGATTATGAGCTTTTTAAATGTAACTTTAATGGCGTAATTTCTCTTAATAGGGCTTAAAATTAAATCTAAAGGCACACCTTAGTTTCATTCTGTAGCGCTGCAGTGATTCAGGACACTGACATTCAGTCAAACTCATTACATCACTAATTACAGGAAGAGAAACATGCCCAGTGAGACCAGGCAGCCAAACTGAACAATAACAGCCTGAAAAAAAATAAAAAACTGTATATCAGATGCAATTGATTTTGCTCATCAGGCACTTTAAAACTGGCAGAATCAGAAGCACCGCCTGCAGAAGAAAAACCAAGACATACTGAATTGGATCTGGTTTTGAGATGTGTGAAAACTTCCCTGCTACAGTTCTGTCCAGAGCTGCAGGAGGTGCAGCTCTGTCCAAACACAGTCTGAGACCGGGTGTAAATCATCAACACGGCACTTGCGGGAGAGGGTGAGGTCATTTGGAGAGGAGGCGAGAGACGGCGATTGTGGCGAAACTCCTCAGTTGACTGGAGGATCCCGAACCTGCACGCTTCCATCCTCCATGCCGAAGTAGGCGCGCTCAGCCATGCCGACAAAAAGCCCCGTCTCCACCACACCTGAGGACGACACGGAGAGAGACACTGAGCGAGTGTTTGTCTGTGGTGACCGATCAGCAGGATACACCGTCACCAAACCCACACTGCACAGAAACACAACCGTGCTCCGCCAGCTCCTCACCTGGAATCATCTTGATTGCAGTGTTGACTTCTTTCCAGTTCTGAGCTTGCTCAAACTTCCAGTCCAGAATGAAGTTGCTGTTGTCGGTGACCACAGGACCCTGAGAGACAGACGGGTACAAACTCAGTCACTGAACAAAAACATCCCCAAGTTCCTATCAATTGTAATCTCAGACGAACCAGTGTTACTGCTTGAACAGCCGAACGGTGCACTCTGACTCCAGACAGGAATAGAAAAGTTCATCTACAAACAGCTGTTTTTTATAAAATTATCTCAACTTTGTCAACAGCTTTTCCAATAAAAAAAAAAAGAAGCAACCTGTACGTGGCCTGACTTCTGTAATCAGTACGAATTAAGTGATCATGTGTGGCTATGAGGCAAGTGTTAACGAAATAACAGCAGGTCTGTTGTCATAAAGGCTTCCTGGATCAACAGACTGCTGCTTGTCCACTCATTAATATATAGACTGTTCCCAGGCTCAACAGTAAAACATAAAGATCCAGAGTAACAAACAAGTTCTACCCTACAGACTGTTAATGAGACAGATACGTGTGCGTGTGTGTGTGTGTGTGTAGGTGTTATATTCGTCTTGTTTCAGTGTAAACTTTGCTCTGTTCCACTGTTGCCACAAGCTTTTCTCTTAAACGGTGCACTGTGGAGTTTCCCTGTTTGTGTTGTGTGTGTGTGTGTGTGTGTGTCTTTGAGGTCGAACAAATGTGCAGATTTCCTTCCACAGAAAACATTTGCAAAGATTATGTTGTTTTTTTCACATCCATGTCTACGAGCTAGCTTCTTTTTCCACACCATTGCTGGCACATTGCAGCATGTCTTACCACCACCTGTGGATCTGTGAGTTATGTCACCAGCGTGTGTGTGTGTGTGTGTGTGTGTGTGTGTGTACTGCACTAGACAAACCAAACTGGGCCCTCCTCACGAATAAACAGCTCCATAGCGCTACAAGAGGTCAGATAGTGCACAGGGTACTTGAAGCTCACACACGAGTCCAGAAAAATGTAGTTACACATGGTGCCTACTTTGATTCCATTATTGCCACATAAAGATGTAAAAGTACAACATATTGTAAGTTAAGATCTGTATAAAAAACACTCAGGGCAATAAAAAAAACACAATGTAATGCAGATTAAATGTTTTAATAAACTAAGTGGTTTCTAAGTGGTTGAGCTGCTCTGATGCTTTCTGGGAAGAGTTTTAATTTCACCATGAAAGACACACATCATTCTCATCCTGGACCTCGGGACCACTACGAGCCCCTGGGAGGAGAAAGTGAGGATCTGCATGAAAACTAAAAGTACAAATAGAGCCACACAGGGGAAAAGCTACACTGCTGCTGTAACAGACAGAGAGCCGTATGAAGACAAGTGTTGGATGCAGAAGGAAGAGTCGAGCCAATCCTCCACTTACGGCTTTACTGACAGCCATCCGTAAGTTGGCCTCCCCTCCAAAGCGCCTGGCGATCGTCCTGGAGACGGGAACGTACGCCATGGGGATCACCTCAATAGGAACTCCCTTCTTCCACTGCTGGCCCAGAGCCTTGGAGTCCTTCCTGGGAGGAGAGAACAGAGTGTAAGAACCAAATCTGGACACACATATACACACACACACACACACACACACACACGGATGCAGATTAAACTACAGACCACATACATTTCATCTGAGATCTGTTCTGACTGATTTTATATTTAAGATGTAGAGTAGGTGATGTGGTTTCAATCTGTGTGAAAGCACAATAACATTCAACAAGTCCTCTAAAGTCCAATTTCCTGTGTGACCCTGAAGCGCACTGTACACTGACAGTCAACAAGCTTATCATACAAACACTTTTACTCCTTTTGTTTCAAACTTTCAGTGGCTGCTGCAGTTAATGCTACCAACCCTTCACCACACAAACACAACATTCAAGGATTCGCTCTGTCATTGCTCGGCTAATGAAATCTAATACAAAGACACAATTAAAGTCTATTTTACCACCTGTGAGGCAGAAAACAGCCTCTGATGCGGCTAGATTTTAAAGCAGCTACAAGAAACTTTCATTTTGTGGTGACTGTGGCGGCCCCTGTGGTCAAAAGCGGTGAGAGAAAAAGGGAATCCGACTGAATCCAACCCAGTGGCGGACATTAAGAATAACTATAAAGAAATGTAGAGGCATTAGTATGAAACTGAGGAACTCCTTGTAGTACGTTTAACAAATCTTCAGTGAGGAACCACAGAAACATCCCCCCCCCTTTGAGGGTTGGCAAAAGTCTTATCACACTCTCTCTAGGAATTACACTCCAGGTAACTAAAATAAAACACCAACCTGTAGTCGGCAATGACAACAAAATGCTTCGCACAGCCGGCTACAATCTTCTCCTGAGTCAGGCAGCCGCTGTGAGACAAACAGAGGACGAGTGAGACAGAAATCAGAGGACACGCTGTTAGAGCTCTGCTGTGTGTATTGAACTGTACTCACCCTCCGCCTTTTATCAGCGTGAGAGCTGCGTCCACCTCGTCCGCTCCGTCAATCGCCACATCCAGCTGTGTGTGAGGAAAAACAACGTTATTCCACAAGCAGCAAACAAAAGCAAGAAGCAACAACAAACGGACTGATTCACTCTCTGCAGCAACCGCCAGCTCCGTTCACGTTTGTTCTGCAGCTGCACGGCGTGATTTTCACAGCGCTCCGACTCAAGCTGACAGCGCTCCAGTGCCAACATATTGTGGCCCTTACTCATTTCCAAGGCTTTCAGATTAATTTGTAAAGAGCTCGTCATACCTCCGGGTGCCTGTCCAGATCCGACAGCGTGAGGCTGTGCTGCAGGATCAGCTGACGGGCCTGTGGGAGGACGAGAGACGGGAGGGACGGGCGAAAACCGCAGGAGAAGAGAGACAAAAAGCAGAGGAAAAACATTTATACGTTTAGACATTACAGAGTGGTAATGAGTTGCATTCAAAGCCGCAAAGTTGCAGCACATGCTTGTTGCCAAATACTGTGCACACAGCATTAAGCCACCGGGAGGAAAACCATTAGAAGTCGTGTAACTTAAAATGTCTCCAACCAACCTGGAAGGAGGTGGGCACACACACAATGTTGAGTTTCTCCTGACGCACTCTCTCAGCTGGAATAAACGACATGCACAAAGTTAAAACACATTAGGCTCCTGCTAATGGACCCATATGGGTTATAAAGCTGATACTCTACTGGACATTCAGGCATATGTTTAAATATGTTTGCATGAAACTTCAAGTACGAAGCTCGAAATGAACTTGTTCTCCACCTTCCCAAAACTCACAAGAGCACCAACATAAAGCATCAACACACAAACAGTGCGCTTTATTCCATTTACTGCAAACAAGTTAGTATCTAAAAGACCTCAGCAGTCTCACGAATGACATCTAAAGTTCACTCACCTAATCTGTCTACAGCATACACGATGGTCGACCCGCTGCCCACTCCAACCACCTGGTTGTTCTAGAGACACACAGGGATTCAAACCACGTTACATTGCACACCTGGACACAGTGTAATGAACAGCACGTCATGTTAAATTTGTTTCCCACAACACATAAATCCATCCATCACAAGATAAACACACCTTCATGTATAAGGGCAGCATGTGTTGCAGGTGTGTACAGATGTTCACACGGTGTCTCTGACATTAAATGAGCTTTCTAAATGAACTCCTGCTGCACTGCAGAGTCAGTGGAGGACAAACTGTTAGTTCATTATGAATTATTTAACGTATTCCAGCAGCAGTGGAAACTTCTCTCAGTTTTAAATCCTGAACACACGTTAGCTCATCTGTTTCTGTCCTGCTAGCAGCTGACACATGCTGTAATAACATAACGTTATATTTAGTCCTTAATGCGGCACAAAGTTAGCCCCACTATCCCGGGACAAGCACGCGTAACACCGAGCTAATTCCCCTCCAAACCGTGCAAGTTAGATAACAGCACCAAGTTAGCACGCTAGGCTACATGACCACCTTTTGTGTTTGCGCTGGCTAACTTAGCTAGCATGTGGCTAATAAAGAGGAACACATTCTCTGTCTGCATGTTACCGGACAACCGGACAGACACACCGACACACCGACACACCGACAGCTACCTGGACGTGGTTGTCCACGGCGGCGTACGCAGCCAGCTTCTTCGCCTCCTCGGCCATGCTCGCGGCGGACTGACCGAACCGACACACGTGTCTCCGGTTACCGAGAGCTGCTGCAGCCGCGCGCCTCCACGGTGCTGAGGAGAGAGAGACAGCGGAGAGGTTTCTGAAGGAGAGACAGCACTGGAGTCTCATGACCCGGCCCACAGCGGGGAGACAGACAGGCAGACAGACAGGCAGACAGAGAGAGAGAGAGAGAGAGAGACAGACAGAGAGAGAGAGAGACAGACA